GTAGTTTGCGAACTGACCCAGTTCGTATTGGTTCATGAGCCATTTAAAGTTTAAACCCTTGCTTTCTGCTCCTGGTGGCTTTTTGCGGGGAGCAGAAAGCAGGGTTTCCAAAACTGAGTGGCCTGATTTCTGCTGCTTGTGGCATTTCACGGGGAGTAGAAAGCAGGGTTTAAATGTCTCCAAGCCATTTAAATCAAACAGCTGAGCAGCAGGGAGTGAACTGAAGAACTGCCATGAACGTTCTTTCACAAATTTTGGTGCCATTCGTGGTGGTTCGTGAAGAGTGGAAACTGCTGTGAACTGCACCAAAATTCATGGAAGTTTGTGGTGGTTCTTCAGTTCATGTACATCGCCATGAACCACCAAAATTTGTGATAAACTTTAGTTTGTCAGTTATTTACCTTGGTATGTCAAAAACCCAATACTTTCAAAAAAAGAGGCAATGAAATCTTAGCAGACCCATCTGGTCTCTCCACAGCATACTACCCCTGTAGCTAATAACACAGAACTGTTGACATGATGTCATCAATGTGCACCAAGTTTTATCCTCTAACAAGTGGCTACCAATCAAGTGAAGTAGGGTGAGGAAACTCATTCAGCAGTGTTATCACAATATGCATTTTGTACAAATAGTTCCGGCCTGAGGTTGCTTCTTTCCTATTACTTTAAAAGAAACAGGCCAAGAGGTTGCTAATTAAACCTTGAAAATAGGCAGGGCACTTGAGAACTGCAACAAAGCCCAGGTGTATTTATCCTTTCCTCGAAGAAGCACACTTCAATTCTGTTCCTTAAGTATACTTTTAAAAAGCATTTCTTTTAGCTCAGTCCTAAACATGTTTACTTAGAACACCCATTGAATTCACTGGACCTTACTACTTTGTAAATATGCTTAAGATTCCAGACCTTCCACACACAAAAAAACCCTAGCTGATCTTCCATTTTTTTGTTTCCTGTGGAAATACATTACATAGAGCACACACTAAAATGCATAAACACTTTTTTGAGTTTTACAGTCTCAGTGTTTCTAGCTGTCAGCCTTATAAATATTAGAGAATCTATATGGGAAATACAAAATTCCTATTTACTTTAATGCCTTTGTTTTATGTATACAGAATCTGATATTAAACATCTTGTATAGCTGTAACATCTTCCATGGTCCACTTGAAGTGCTCTTGAGCCTCTCTGCCCTTGTTGGTATACAATATCTATGTAGTTTAAGTGCGCTCCTATCAGATTTTTAAATCAATTGGTATCTATGCAGGATTTACAACTGCACTTCCATCTCCTGTGTGTGGATTTTTGTATCACTTTCTTTGAGAACCAGCTATGCTATATGAGGTGTATTTTTTGTCCTTCCCACACTATTTTTCCACTGATTATATGCCCATTTAGGAATGTCTTTTTCAATTTTAATCACTCTTCTTCATGCAGAAGTATCTTTTCAGCACTGTAGAGAGATTCTTTTTACCCAATTCCTTTTTCCTTCCCCATGACTATAAATATCATAGCTATTTCTGATATCCTCTGCCCTCCTATGTCTGTTGAAACTAACAATATCTGAGACAATAAGTTGTGTATTTTTCACTACATGGACATGTGTTTGCAAACCAGTGCTAGTGCATATAGTATTACTTTAATGTTTTAAAAAAAATCTGTGGAAGCATCTTTTGGCCATTCCTTAGGTGTCTTGGTCTGGTTCCAAGAAAGAAAAAAAGTTTAGTTTTGTCTCAGTTATAGGGAAAATATAAAAACGTTCTAAGTCTTGATTTATCATCCTTAACATGACTCTTCTACGATGAACCATTATTAGATGCCTCAGTTTTAGGGGATGTATCACTCTGGAGCCTTGATCTGGATGGCCTAGGGTAGCCCAATCTTGTCAGATGCGGGGGTCAGCCCTAGTTAGTATTTGGATGGGACACCACCAAGGAAATCCAGGGTTGCTGTGCAGAGGTAGGCAATGCAAACTGCCACTGAACATCTCTTGCCTTGAAAAACCCGTAGGGTCTCCATAAGTTGGCTGTGATTTGACAGCACTTTCCTCCACCACCATCACTCTGGAAAAAGTACATGTTAACTGTATTAGAAGACTTTATTCAGAGATGGAACTTTTTTGGCATATGATGAAATTGTTGAAATAGTGGAGGGGGAAAGACCATTGTTGGTTCAGTATCTACCGCTCTGCCATTGCTCCACCATATTGTTTTGTTGTTGTTGTTGTTGTTTTTGGCATATGATGAAATTGTTGAAATAGTGGAGGGGGAAAGACCATTGTTGGTTCAGTATCTACCGCTCTGCCATTGCTCCACCATATTGTTTTGTTGTTGTTGTTTTTAAGACATAGGTTTTAAAAAACACAGTTCTGGGAGTATCTTGTATCTCATATATAAAGAACCAACAACACTCAACAGTATATATACATACAAATACAGTTGTTAAGTTCGACTCATGCTTATGTACATATAATTATCTCGGTACAAAACATTCTACAATGAAAAACAACAACAATCTCTGTCGGAACAGTACAAACAATAGATAGAACAGGGGAGAGAAAAAATATCCAGTGAAACTTTCCAGTTCTGTGTGAATAGATCACAAGGTCCCGGATGTATTACGTCCCTTGTTGTGTCCTAAAAGAATTCATCAGATCAATAAGAAACAGTAAATATGTAGAACCACATCAGCCAATGTACATCTTACTAGCAAATATATAATAACTAGGAAATAAGGCACGCGGAAAGAAATGCAATGAGCTCTAGAAAGAGTAAGCAAGAGAAAAGTAAGGCCGTATTGAGGTTCGTGGAGGCCCCATGCAGCAATCTGCCCGGCTGCCTGGGCTCTCACTCACTTGTGTCATGTTGTCTCTCTGCTGGGGCGGCCCCATTGTTCCATGGCCCAGCTGGCTTCATCCCTGCAGCCTCCCATGTCAGCACCACCACCGTGCCGTCCCCCCCAGCAGGAGCTGCATCGCCGCTGTCCCCTCCTCTCCCCCCGCCTCCCTTTCTTCCCCATGACCGGTGCTTGTGTGAAGCTGCAGAGCTGGCTCTGGAGTGGGCAGCGTGGTGGGCAGCCATCCCCTGTCCTCCACCAGGGTGGTTCCCACCCTGCTCTGATGGTGGCCACATGCCTTTTCCGCAGTCCTCCTCCCCCACCCCGCCTCTCAATCATTGTAAAGAGTGCGAGGCAGGCAACGCAGGCGGTGTGTGAGGCAGAGCCAGGTTGAGCGGCCATCACCAGGGAGGAGAGGTGAGGTGGTGAGGTGGTATGAGGAGGGAATGCTGGGTCCGTGCTCCATTCATGGGGCGTGCGAGGGATGGGGGGGCAGCAGGAGAGGACTGAAGCAAGGGCTCCCCTCCCCAGTCCGGACGCTGTGTGTGAGCTAGAGGGAAGGAGGCCCCGGCAATCCCCTGCCCCGCATAGAGTCCCGTCCACCCCTTCCATCAGCTCCAAGCACACTGAGCACAAGACGCCAGACTCTGTGGGCAGGTGGGCAGGACTCCAGCCACGCAGCCATTGGCACACCATCTGACTGACAGGTCCAGGAGTCAAAGGCTGCAGGAGCGTGGGCAAGAGGGACATGAAAACTCTTTTATATATAAGGAGGGATTTCATAAGCACAAGTTCTAGGGACAGCTCTGATGTTTAGCTTAGGATATTTGAAGGATACTCAAGTGGAGACCTGGGCTGTACCATAATTCTAGGCTTGAAGGGAAAAATAGCCACCCAGCTCCATTATTTAAGTACAGCACATACTTCACATGCAAACAACTCCCAAACTTCTTTTCCAGCATCTCTAGTTAAAAGATTTGCAGCTAACCCAACTCTGAAGGCCTTCTGCCTGACATCTTGAAAGACCACTGCAATCAGAGTAGACAGTCCTGTGCTAGCTGATGAATAATCTGAATTTACGGAAGATAGCTCAATAGGGTAATAGCGTGGTTGCCAGGTACCTTACCTCTGGCCAGTGGAGGGCTTTGGGGAGAGTTCCAGGAGGTGGAGGGGACATTGCATAACACCTTTATGTGATGACATCACTCAGAAGTGACATCATCATGCCAGAAACATCATTCGCCCTCAAAACCATAGAGTTTGCCAAAATATCAGAGCATCTCCCATGTGACATTTCCAGCATAATGATGTCACTCCTGGGCAGCCATATAGCTAGCTTAGAAAGACACGCAAGAGTGGTACCTTCAATACATCTCCAGTCATCCCCCTTTCTGCTAGCCCAGTCCTGCTGTATACTACCTAGGTCATGGTGAGTCTTTCAAAAACTCATCACGACCTAGGTGGTATACAGCAGGACTGGGTTAGCAGAAAGAAGTACTTTTCTCCCTTTCTCACAATACAAGAACTCGTGGGCACTCAATGAAATTGCTGAGCGGTCAGGTTAGAACAAATAAAAGGAAGTACTTCTTCACACAAAGACTGATTAACAAATGGAATTCACTGCCACAGGACCTCCTGATGGCACCTGGTACTGATGGCACCTGGCCACTCTATGACAGAGTGTTGGACTGGATGGGCCATTGGCCTGATCCAACATTGGCTTCTCTTACGTTCTTATAACATTCTTGGGTATCATTTGAAAATTATAGTTACTTTTACTCAGAATATGACCCTTTTTTGTACCACTTTAGTTTTCAATATCTATATAGTTTCTCTGAATATTGTAGAATATTTGTATCAATGAGTTAATTTATTTACTTGGAGACCAATGGGGCTCACAGCAGTCTCTCCTTCTCCATTGTATCTTAACAACAACTCTGTGAGGCAGGTCAGGCTGAGTATGTGTGCCTGGCCCAACGTCACATACCAAACTTCCATGGCGGAGCAGGGATTTGAACATGAGTCTCTAGCTCTAGTACAACAGTCTAACCACTATGCCATGCTGGCTATGTGTTATGTATTTTTAGTAGTTTTAGTGCTTTTAAAGATACTAGCAGTAGAGGATGACTTAATATAGGAAGTGTAAGTCTAAATGTCCTCTTATCTTTCAGGGAAGAGCTTCACCTTGACCATCACAGTCTTCACAAATCCACCACAAGTAGCTACATACCACAGAGCCATCAAGATAACAGTAGATGGACCCCGAGAGCCAAGAAGTAAGTATTCAGAAATCACTAGATGCGACCAATAAATATTGGCTTCGGCTGCATTATAACTCTGACCCAGCTATATTTACCAGCTTTTAATGGAATCTGAGTCTTCACCTTGGCTAGCAACCATAGAGAGTAAACTGGGAACTCTGAATATTCCCCTCGAATCTCTCCTTTTACTTTCAGAATCGGAGGCGTTTCAAAAAATAAAGAACAGAGTACTGGAGATAGAGCTAGCCAATTTATATAATGCAGCCAATAAGACCTGCTCTTCTCTTAGCCATGGGATACTCCCCATTGTAGGACTTCTCCCTAGTTATTTTTACCCAATTACAAAGCCCAAAAATCCACATAATTTTTTCTCTTGCCAGGCTTACTGTTTTACCGTCAGCGATTTTAACCAGAAGATTTCAGGGTATACACCTTATTAATAGATATTGCCCCTGTTTAAATGGAACCATTGAAACAGTGTCCCATGTGTTGTTAGAATGTCCTTATTATAACAATATCAGACAAAGTATTTTATCTTCAATCTTATCTAGCATTATGGATTTTCCTGATGCATATAAACTGTTGTTTCTACTTAACAACACTGGTGACAATATAATTGATTCAGTGGCAAAAAATTTATGTCGCCATTTTTATACGAAGCAATATATCGTAATCTTGGGATATTTTAACTTGTAAATTTTTATGTATTTGCTCAAAGTTCCCCCTTTTACAATGCCAATAAAGGTATGATGAGGATGAGATCACTAGATCCTATTTTAAAAAGAATTACAGAAATGTGTGGGAGACGCTCCCTTTTATTCCACTATATTTTAATCAGGCATTTAACTGAGCACTATGCAAAGTGTGTAGCATCTTGGACAGCCATTATACGTATGGCCAACTTTTAAGATTGGGGGAGCATATAGTTTATTAGGAAGTTTGAAAGTTGTAAACCAGACTTGCAATTTTTGAGTAAAGTTTTCATAAAGTTTTTTATGGAAAGTGTCTATTGATGTGGAAACATAGCTGAAATGCTTTCCCATTGAAGAGAAAAAATGGTATAGTATATGTAGAAATGAACAAAGGATGAAGGATAAAAAGATACTAATGTGTGTTATTCAGCATTTTCTGCTCACTCTGACTTTCAATTATTCATAGAAATTTTAATTTCAGAAACAAAACAGCCCTCTTCAGACGTTTTTTCAGTGTTGGCCGACAGCAGAAGTGAAAGGGAGGGGGGCAGTCAGAGAGATGACAACCCCAGTTGTTGTATGCAGCTTATTGTGTCTCATGCTAGTTTCCAACTTGAAAACAGTAATAACTGAAGATGGCACTTAAAGCAGACAGATGGAATTTATTCCACTAAGGCAAAGATTTTTCACAGTTTCACATGCTTGCCAGTTTCTTCATTTTTATCAATTAAGAATGAGTAAATAATAAATGGTATCTCCAGGGATATTTCCAGAAAATATATCTAAGCACAGTGCCTGGAGGGAGGGAAAGCCCCGGAAGCCACCCTGTTCTAGGGCTTATGCAATATGTTCCATTATTACCCAAGGCAATGATTAACCTCTTTGTAGAATGTTCATATTAACATTGAGATGTCTTCCTGTAAATTGAGGTTTGCGGTTTTTTTCTCTTATTCCCCCCACATGTTTGGCAGAGGCAGTAGCTTAAGAAAAGTCAAAATGGGGAGAGCAGAGAAACACCCATGGGACCAAAGTTTGGATTATCAGGTTCCAGATCAATTCTGTGTGAAACCTTGGCATCATTAGCATGAATGGAACTGTGCCACTGACTTTAATCAAACAAAGAAGACTTTATATATTATTTTTACATACTTGTTTTTGTTTTACTATTTCCTTTTCACAACTGCAAGCTTGGACCAGGTTCTCAGTTGCTATAAATTAACGTGCCTTTCTTTTCATACCCAGAGAAAGTTTTTTGGACAAGAGTATGTTTTGCATTTGGGATACACAATTGTCTCTTAAGTTAATATATGTGATGTGATGGAATTTTTTTTAAATTAAACCAAGTTCCTCCATAGATGGGGACAGAGGGTGGCACTGGGAGAGAGGATGTCAACTAGGTACCCCTTAACATGTGGGGTTCCTCAGGGGGCAGTTCTCTTCCCAATGTTATTCAACATCTATATGCACCCCCTTGCCCAGCTGGTGTGGAGTTTCGGGCTGGGGTGCCATCAGTACACTGATGACTTCCAGCTATATCTGCTACCGGACAGCCGCCCAGATGCCATCCTGCATAATCTGGCCAAGGGTCTGGAGGCTGTGGTGGGATGGTTAAAACAGAGCAGCCTGAGGCTGAATCCGACGAAGATGGAGGTTCTGTGGCTGGGGGGAGGTGTGTCGGGGCTGGGGCATAGACTTCCCACACTTGACGGGATGCCACTAACACTGGCGCAATCTGTCAAGAGTTTGGGCATGGTCTTGTATGCCTCCTTAACTATGGAGGCCCAGGTCATGAATATTGCCAGACTAGTGTTTTTCCATCTACACCAAGTGCAGCAATTAGCCCCTTTCCCGTCATGCCCTGACCTAGTCACAGTAATCTATGCTACAGTCGCATCCAGACTAGACTACTGTAACTCGCTCTACCCTGGCCTTCCCTTGAGACTGATCCAGAAACTCCAGCTGATCCAGAATGTGGTGGCGTGAGTCATAGCGGGAACGTCATGGACGGCACATATACAACCTGTGTTGTGCCAGCTACACTGGCTTCCAGTGGAATACCGAGTCAGGTTCAAGGTGTTGATACTGACCTTCAAGTCCTTGAGTGGTCTGGGACAAGTGTATCTTCTGGACTGTCTCCTCTGGTATATCCCGGGGAGACCAGGTTCCAAATATTCTTCACACCAGCTGTGAATCTTGTTAGGCTGCATGCCATGATCATGAAAGCTTAATTGGCAATTCCCTCTATTACTGGATAGCTGTATCTGATGAAAATATCTGAAAATATTTGGAACCTGGTACTTTTTATTTTAACTAATTGAAAATGACAATAGAATTGTACATATTCAGTTTTGATGCTGTAAGACCTGAAGAAGGCGTCAGAAACAAGGTTACACCGGTTCTCATAGTCTTGCAGTCCTGTATCTTTGTTGTCTTTAAGAGTTCAAAGTAGCTTGTGTAAATCCTTAAGCAATATTGGGTGAGATTTATTCATTATTATTTTTTGGATTATTATCTTCTGTAGAATTGTGGTTTTATACCTAAGGTGAATCTGTGGGAAGTTAAATATTAATTGTATTGAATGTTGATATATATAAAATTAATAATACAAGCACAATCCAGCATGGTGGTGTAGTTTTGTAGTTCTTTTTTGGAATCCTTAGGAGTGGCAAGTCATTGTTCTGGGTGGGGTGGTGCATCCATTGGTCCAAGCCTGACCATAGCTTTGAATGTATGACACACACCCCACATACAGTTTTATTAACTGTATGACTGAGTTTTAAAGTATTCTTTTGTGCTGGAAAGAGGGAAGGGCAAAAGAGGATTGTTAATTCATTCTTTTACTAAAATCACCAGCAGTCAACTCCTAGTCATGTATTATTTTCTCAAACTCAGAACCAATGCTCCCTCTAAGCTGTGGAGTCTTGGGAGCAAAAATTCTACTTTGTAAGCTACTGGCATTAAAGTTGTGAGTGAGCGATTTGGCTACTGCATCCTTCCTGAGCTAAGACAAAAATGTGTGAGTCGAAGGCTCAAAAACTGTGAGCTAGCTCACACTAAATCATCTTAGAGGGAACACTGCTCAGAATACAGCAATACCGCTACTACTAATAACGTAGCTTTACCTTTATAGTTCTCATTTGGTACGTTTCAGTTATAATGCCTTTATTTTCCATATTGAAAAGCTTCTGAAACTGGCACATATTAATTCAAGGCATCTGAAACTGGCACTTATTAATTCATTTTGTTGGAGACAGTACTAGAATGACTTTAAAATTATTTGCCATTGCTGTGAATTTATAATTCACAAACAGAATTGACTTTTTATGAGTGTTTCAAAGGTCCCGTTCACACTTGCCGGGAAACGCAGGGGGGAGGCGTGGCTGTTTGCACCGGCACAGTGTGTCCCGCTGCAAACATGATCAGACGGCAGTTTCCTTCCTCTACGCATGTTCCCGGCATACTCCAATGATGCAAGAGGAGCGCGCTGGAGCAATCACACAAAGAGAGTCCGGCAGCGGCCGGTCGCAAGCCGTTTGCTACTGGACTTTACGAGGTAGCTTTTTACTCCGCATCTTCGGCCGGCTGTGACGGGTGCACTACGCTGGCCAAATGTTGCTGTGTGATCGCGCCCTTATAATCCGCCCGGCATTCGTGCTGCTCCCGCGGCAACATCTGCGTCTGATCGGGGCCTAAATTAGGTATTTCTTTCAAGGCTATGTCAGTTATTACATCTCTTCTAATAAAAATGTATCTCCTATATTCTAATTGCATGTTTGAGGCTGCATCCTAAGGAAACTTTGCTAGAAGTAAGTCCTATTGAATAAAATGGAACTTATTTTGGAGTATTATACTGAGCAGTAAATAGAACCAGGTACCAAATACTCTGATCCTATTTATACTTTTTTGGAAGTAAATTTTAATTAGTGTGGTTTATTTCCATTTAGATGCAAGTAGACTTATATAAAGTGGTTAAGACGCTGAACTGCAGACCGGAATGTCGGTAGTTCAGTAGTTCGAGATCCGAGTGCCGCATGATAGAGCGAGCTCCCATCTCTGGCCCCAGATCCTGCCAACCTAGCAGTTCGAAAGCAAGAAATTGCAAGTAGATAAATAGGTACCATTTTGATGGGAAGGTAACAGCGTTCCATGCACCTCGACATTCAGTCATGACCACATGAACACGGAAACGTCTTTAGACAGCGCTGGCTCTTCGGCTTGGAAACGGAGATGTAGTATGAATGGGATAATATGTACAACAGAGATGAGCACCACATCCCTAGAGTCGGATTTGACTGACTTTCGAGCAAGGGAAACCTTTACCCT